GGGGGGGGGGTGTATGTAGGCAGCTGAGTCACAGCTCAGGTAAAAAGTGACATCACTTGAATTTCAGGTACTTTCTTCCTGGGCCCCTGCCCATTCTGTCCCAAATCTGTTTAGCATACAGAAAGGGAATTTACTCACTGACTCACTTATTCAGTCATTCATCTATTCCCTAATTCATTCACCTTTTCACTCATTCATTGGTTCATTGGTCCATTCATTCATAAAATAAAAATTTATTTAGCACCAATATATCCGTGATGGACATGGTCCCTCTCCTCAAGGGGCTTGTTACTGATTGGACACAACCCAGAGTGATTGGTGGGGGAGGGAATGGCATGCAAGCAGAGACTAAAGGAATGAGAAAAGAGCATTTGAGGCAGAGAGGGCATCTGGTGGAAAAACTCAGAGCAGAGAAAGCACACAGCTTTTTCCAAGGAGTTAAGGAAAGTTCTGTCATGTTGGAGTATTAAGTGTGTGTGTGTGTGGGGGGGGGTGCTAAAGATGTTTTGAGAGCCATCTGGACTGGGGCAGATCATTTGGGGCTTTGAAAAATGGGCTGAGAAACTGGTGCAGGAAGGGACATGGTCTGACCTAGAGTCAGATAAGATCCCCATGGGGCCAGGGTTCAAGGTAAGCTGGAGAGGGCAAGGCTGGAGCATGGGAGCACAGACGGTATAATTCAGATGGCCTGAGCCGGCAGAAAAGTGGGGCTGGATTAAGTTGAAGAGGCCCTTCAGGACGGGGAGCACAGCCTAGGCTTAGAAGTGAGAGACAGCATGTGGGGTTGTTAGTGGATGTTGAAGGATGAGGCGGGAGAGGCACACAGGGGCAAGATGGGACAGGGATTTTGATGCTAACCTGAGCTTGAACTTTTTTTACCAGGGCAATAGGGAGCCATAGGAGGTGTTTGAGCAGGGGAGCCTCATGTTCAGGTCAGCATGTTATAAGGATCTTTCTGGGGTAGGTGTTAGGATGGATTGGAAGGGTAAGGAGGGAGGTTGGAGCCCAGAGAGGAGTCCCAAGGAGGTCAGAAGCAGAGGTCAAGGGTCAGAATTCTATTTTGAGTCAGCATTGCCTGGTCTGTCTCCACAGCTGCTGTTGCTCCCAAAGATGACCTTTTCTATGGCTTCCTGAAACCTTGGCTGGGTGAGTGTGGGATTGGGTAGGCTGGGGCTTCAGGCAAGAGGGGTTGGGGCATGGTTTCTTGGAGTGTTTCAGAGTAAGAGGAGAGACCCCCTAACCTCAGTCTCCTGGGCCCAGGAGATGGGCTGCTGCTCAGCAAAGGTGAGAAGTGGAGCCGGCACCGCCGCCTGCTGACACCTGCCTTCCACTTTGACATCCTGAAGCCCTACATGAAGATATTCAACCAGTGCACCAATGTCATGCATGTGAGTCCCAAGGTTTCATGGGAAGAGGATGCCCTGGAAGTGAGACAGGTCAGGCTCCAACTCGTGGGTGAGCCATGTGATGTCACAAAGCCTCACTTCCTTTATCTGTATTGGGCTTGTAGTGAGCATGCAGCTAGGTCCTTGTCAGCCAGGCTTTCAGTTTGCGGCCTCTGTGCCCATTTGCTGTCTCTCTCTTCCAGGCTAAATGGCGGCGCCTGGCGGAGGGTCCAGTGGTCTCCCTTGACATGTTTGAGCATGTCAGCCTCATGACCCTGGACAGTCTTCAGAAATGTGTCTTCAGCTACAATAGCAACTGCCAGGAGTGAGTGTGGCCTACCTGGGGAAGACAGAACCAGCTGCTTTAGGGACAAGGTGGTGGGAAGAGAAAAGTGGTGTTAGGCACCTTCGGGCTGCTGGTGCTCTGCCAGACAGGCTGTGTCGTTCCAGGAAACACATCATCTCTGTTAGCCTATTCCTCCCTCACCCCCAAATAGAATCCCAATTCCTTCCCCATAGTCATGTGTGAGAATTAAATGAGATAATATGAGTCAATGGCTTTGCACACAAGAGGTGCTCAGTAAATGCTAGTCTCCCTTATTCCTCTAGGAATACTATGTGATCTTTGGAAAGTATCCCTCCACTTTCTGAGCCTCTGTTTTCTTGTTTGATGACAATCCCTGTCTGAAAGATGCTTTAAGGATAAAATGATATAGCACTGCCCTGGCACGCAGTAGATGCTCAGTGAGTATTGAATGAATTAGTAAAATAACCATTGCCCTGGTTCATTCATTCATTCATTCATTCATTCATTCATCAGATACCCACTGTGTGCCTACTCTGTGCCTGGCACTATTCTAGCTACTGGGAATATGGTAGGGAAACAGACAAAACCCCAGTCTTTGGAGTTTATAATCTAGGTGAAGATATAAGTAATAAGGGACACAATGAATGTCATTTGTAGCACATAATAGGTCCTCAATAACAAGCTTCTGACTTTGTTACTCTGGGCCTTGTAGGGGCATGTTTCAGTTGGGTAAGGTGGAGATGGCCTTAGTAATTAATTAATTAATCCAAGAAATATTTACCAAGTGCCTACTATGTGCTAGTCCTGGACTAGGCACTGCAAATACAGTGGTCAATAAAACAAACAATGTCTTGAACCAAAAAATAAACAAAAAAAATGACAGTCTGTGATAAGTGTATGAAAACTAGCAGCACGCTTCAGAACCAAGGACAGCTCCTCGAAACCCTGCCTCAGTGATTTACTTGTTTGTTTGTTTGTTTGTTTTTAACTCTCATCCGAATGCTTCTATTGATTTTTAGAGAGCGAGGAAGGGAGAAACAGGGAGAGAGAGATCGATGTGAGAGAGAAACATCAATCGGTTGCCTCCTGTACACTGATAAAGTCTGGAGTAGGGGCTATGGACTGGTTGGTTTGCAAAAGCAAGACATGCTCCTAGGTGAGGCTCTAAGAATAGGTTAGCCCTGGGAGGGCAGTGTCTCCAGTCAGTGAGGTCCCAGATGGTAGAGCATCAAGAATTCAAGACAATGTAGCTAATCCAGGGCCGCTCTTTGTCATCTACCCACTGGGAGAGAAGCTTGTCTAGACAGTGGGCCTACACTCATGGCCCTTCTTCTCCCTGGCAGGAAGATGAGCGATTACATCTCAGCTATCATTGAGCTGAGTGCGCTGGCAGTCCGACGCCAGTATCGCCTGCACCACTACATTGACTTCATCTACTACCGCACAGCAGATGGGCGGCGCTTCCGCCAGGCCTGTGACACCGTGCACCGCTTCACCACCGAGGTCATCCAGCAGCGGCGGCTGGCTCTGCGCCAGCAGGGGGCTGAGGCCTGGCTCAAATCCAAGCAGGGCAAGGCCTTGGATTTCATCGATGTGCTGCTCCTGGCCAAGGTGAGGCTGGGCCCTGGAGGGTGGGCCCCGCCCAGGATGGCCTCATTACAAGTTGCACGAACTGCCTAAAATAGTACACGTCCAAACTAACTTAGACATAGGACACAAAATGTGTAAGACTTACTATATTCATTTGCTAGGGCTGCTGTAACCAAGTGTCATACATAGGTAGCTTATACAACAGAAATTCATCTTCTCAGCCCTGGAGGTAAAAAGTCTGAGATCAAGGTGTCAGTGGGGTTGGTTTCTTCTGAGGCCTCTCTCCTTGGCTTGTAGATAGCCGTCTTCTCCTGTATGTTCACATGGTCTTTCCTCTGTGCATATCTTTGTACTAATTTCCTCTTATAAGGACTCCAGTAATATTGGATTAGGGCCCACTCTAATGAGCTCATTGTAATTTAATTACTTCTGCAAAGGCCCTATTGTCAAATACACTCATATTCTGCTGTCCTAGCTGGGGTTAGGACTTCAACATATGAGTTTTCCAGAAGTGGGAATGAAGGCGGGGGGAGGGGGGACACACAATTCAGCCCACACTTACAAAGATGAAATACATGACCTTGAAGACATGTGGTATTTGCAGAGATAAGTGGTCACTCATTTTGCGGTGCTTCTGTGGAATTTCTGAGCAGCACCTGCATTCAGGGTTCTGCATTCAGACAGTCCTAGACCCCAGTTCTGACTCTGATGCTTCATGGATGCTTGACCTTAGTCATCTGACTCTTCTGAGCCTCAGTTTCCTCATTTATGACATGATGGTCACATGACCTGATCACAAGATTGTTGGTGCTAGGAGCTGCTCAAGAAACACAAGCTCGGCCTAGCTGGTTGGCTCAATGGTTAGAGTGTCAGCCCGCGGACTGAAGGGTACCGGGTTTGATTATGGCCAAGGGCATGTGCCTCAGTTGTAGGCTCGATTCCTGGCCCCCTGTCGGGGCGTGTGTAGGAGGCAACCAACTGATGTGTCTCTCTCACATCGATGCTTCTCTCTCTCTCTCTCTGTCTCTCCCCCTTCCCACTCTCTCTGAAAAGCAATTGAAAAAATATCCTCGGGTGAGGATTTTAAAAAAATTAAATAAATCAAAAGAAACACAAACTCCTTTCTTCCCCTCACCTTTGAGTCTCTTTCCCTCTTTTCATCTTTCTTAGACAAATTGCATACCTCCATCTTCCTGGAATCCTTTCCCTACAGCTTGGCTTAGGAGAGAGAGGGGGTATCTTTGACTTTGGGGGAGGCCCTAGCGTGCAGAGGGTGGGATGAAGTGGGCTGAGCATTGTCTACTGCCCATTCCAGGATGAAGATGGAAAGGAACTGACAGACGAGGACATACGAGCTGAAGCAGACACCTTCATGTTTGAGGGTGAAGACATGGGGCAAGGCTGGGGGAGGATGGGGGTGCCCATTGTCTGAAGATAGCATCTCTGCTATCTCCAGGAAGCCTCCATTAGAGCTCCTCATCTGACTGCAGGTCACGATACAACATCCAGTGGGCTCTCATGGGTGCTGTTTAACTTGGCCAAGTACCCAGAGTACCAGGAGAAGTGCCGGGAAGAGATCCAGGAAATCATGAAAGGCCGGGAACTGGAGGAGCTAGAGTGGTCAGTCTGGGGTCATGGGGATGGTGAGGGCAGGTTGAGCCTTGGGTGTGAATCTTTCTGCTCTACCACTTATTGTCTTTCTGACATCAAACGAGTCACTTAAGATTCTGGAATTTCATTTTCTTTAACTGTAAAACAGGATGACAATAATGTATCTGCCTAGCTCATAATGCAAGAGTTCTTAGTTAGGAGTGTCTTAGTTAGCAATGGTTGCAACCCTGCTGCATAACAAACAGCCTCTAAACTTAGGGGTTTCCAGCAAGCATTTACTTTATTTCTTGCTCTTGCCTGCATATTACTCTTGTTATTGCCGAGTGATGCTGACTTGAATGGGGCTGCGTCCAAACTGAGGTTTGGGTTAAGGTCTGTTCCACGTATCTCCTCATTCTCCTTGAGTCAGCAACTATCCTGGGCGTGTTCATCTCAAGGTAGACTTCAGAAGCACAAAAAGCCACTCAACTGTAAAAAATTTTATTGGGGTGACATTGATTAATAAAATTATATAGGTTTCAGGTGTACAATTATAACACATCATCTGTATATTGTATTGTGTGTTCACCGCCCCAAGTTAAGTCCCCTTCCATCACCATTAAGAGCCACACAACTTAAAACCTCTGTTTGCATCGTAACATTCCATTACCTAAAGCAAGTCATGTGGCCAAGCACGACATGGGTGGGGTGGGTCACCTATTCCACCCTTCTAAGTGGAAGGCACTGCAGGATCACAAGGCACAGGGCACAGGTGTATAATTTGAATACAAGAGGAAGTGAAGAATCAGGAACAGTAATTCAATTGACTTCTATGTGCGATGTGTGTTGTGTAGAGCTGCTTCTGGGTGATGCAAAGAGCACACAGGATTAAATAGCATTAAACAGTGAGAAGGTGGTTCAGTGTCAACCTTTCAAATTAGGAACTCAGGGAGAAACTCTTAGTTGGGTGCTACTGGATCTTCAACACTTTTCTGCTTCTTTTTTTTTTTTTTAAATCTTCACCCAGGACATGCTTAGAGAGAGGAAGGGAAGGGGGAGAAGATGCTCCAGGTTCTGAGAACTGGGCAGGAGATGGTGCCTAGCCAGAGCCTAACCAGAACTTAATAACTCTCTTCTGGTTTCCCAGTGGTGCTTATGTTTATGACACTTTTATACCAGGCATGCCATTTGCCCTTTAAAGTAGCAACATAAAGTTTCTTTGAAAGAGAACCTGTGGTGTAAAGAAAGCCATGGAGATCATGAACCAAGAATTATAATTACTCTAGTTTTGGGTTCTGAAGACCAAAGGAAAAAATTAAGTAAATAATATTAAAGGAAGAGGATGTGTGGGTTTTTAAACACTGAAATTGATCCCCACATGCTAGTAAATTGCTGCTGCCTGGGCCCCCTTGCCTTTTCTGGCACCTCCTCCAGTGTCCCTGATTTCCACATAATTCATCAGTTAAAGGGTTAATGCTGGGCCTACAGAAGCCTGCTAACGCTGCTCTGATTTGCTGGGAGTCAGGTGCTGAGGGTTAGTGGTGAGTGCAGGGCACAACTGCAATTGCCATAAGTTGGGGCAAGCCTGAGCTCCTGGATTAGCTTCCTGTATAGTTGCTCCTGGGTGTATGTGTGACCTGGCCTCGAGCTCACCCACGCTCCATTCCATGCCCCCCAGGGATGACCTGACCTTGCTGCCCTTCACCACCATGTGCATCAAGGAGAGCCTCCGCCAGTTCCCACCTGTGACCCTGGTCTCCCGCCGCTGCACAGAGGACATCAAGCTCCCAGATGGGCGCATCATCCCCAAAGGTGTGCGCTCTGCTCCCTGCTGCCTGGCTGCTCTATTGCTCATGGGGACTGGTCATGCTCACCCCAGGTGCACTATCCCTGTAGCTCTTCTATGGGTGACTCTTCTATGTGACTGCTGCTTTTGGGGTGATGGGGGAGACCCAGTGTGTAGGGGGAAGATAGAGGTGGGTGAGTCTGGGTGTGGCAGGGTGGGCCCTGTGTACAACATAAAGGTAAGGGAGGGTTAGTTTCATTCAGTTGCCAGATATCCCCTGGAGACCCAGCCCTCCCCTGGGTGATGCTGGGGATCTAGAGAGGCCTCATTCCCGGGACCAGGCTGGGGAATACAGCAGGGCACGGACATTCCCAGCCACATCAGGTCAGGGATGGGCTAAAGGGAGGGACGGGGCAGGAGCAGCCCAAAAGAAGAGCAATAGCTCTATCTGGAGAAGAATGCAGGGAGGACTGCTTGGAAGGGGAAATGTGGGAGGTGAGCCTTGGAGGTTGGAAGTGAAAGAGTACAGATAGTGAAAGGCCTTCAATGCCAGACTGAGGCACTTGAACTTGATCCTTAGGGCAGCAGGGAGACATAGGAGGTGTTGGGCTGAGGAGAAGAAATGCCAGATACGAGAGTGAGAAAGATCCCTGTGTGGCCAGCAGTACAGCCAGAAAGGTGACGGAGACCTCTTAAGGAGGCATGCAGCAGAATTTTTCAGGGAAGGATGGGCAGGAAAGGTGGCAGACGGTTCATGGACTACCGTGGCTCCAGGAAAGCAGGGAGGGGGTAGGTCTCCAGAGGAGGCCCTGACTCCCCTCTACCCCACTGACCTCACCCCTCCCCACAGGAATCATCTGCCTGGTCAGCATCTATGGAACCCACCACAACCCCACAGTGTGGCCTGACTCCAAGGTGAGCTCCTCCTTTCTTTCAGCTTCCTCTTCAGAAGGGGCAGTCCTGGGGCAGCAGAGCCTCCCCTACCCTGCTTCCCAGGGAGCCAGACATCAGGGCTGGATGCAGGACTTGAGTGTCCTTCCCCCCATTTGTTCACCGACTCACTGTGAATTCATTAGGTCCACAAATATTTATTGAGCTCCTACTGTGTGTCAGACCCTGTGCTGGGTACTGAGGACAGAGAAAGATATTGTCATTACCCTCATGGAACTCACAGTGAAGTGCAAAGGAAGAAGAGCAAAAATAATATGATTTGGGGTATTGGTAAATGTACAAAGGAAATAAAAAAATGGAGTGGGGTAGTGGGTAGGGGAGCACTTTAGCTCACATGATGAGGAAAGGTCTTGTGGAAGAAGAGATGTTTGAACTGAGGCCTGAGAAGTGTGAGGAGCATGGAGAAGTGTGTTCCGGGCAGAGTTAACAGCAAGTGCAAAGGCCCTGGGGTGGGAATGAGCCTGGCATGCCTGAACAGCAAAAGGAGGCAGTGTGGCTGGATTGTAGTGTGGTTCTCTGTCCAACTGGGCTGCTCCCCAGAGGCTGAGGGAGGGGGCCAAGCTGATATGGGTGGGCCAGTCCCCAGACTCACCCAAGCTGCTCCTGCTTAGGTGTACAACCCTTATCGCTTTGACCCGGACAACCCACAGCAACGCTCGCCGCTGGCCTTTGTCCCCTTCTCTGCAGGACCCAGGTAACTTCTATTTCTCCAAGTCTAAGCCAAGTGTAGGAGGAACACCCAGGCCAGTGGAAAGTCAGGGATGTGCCTATCAGGGACAGAGACCACATCTCACCCTGGTGTCCTATCCACCAACTTGGCACACTCTTCGTGTCCTCAATGCACCCGTAAGTCCCCAAATCAGATCTGGGATAGCACCCCTCCGTAGTAACTGCAACTACTATGTGCCAGGCCCTGAGTTCTGGGCTCATAGGCTCCCAAAGGCTCTATGATGCATTGTCCTGTTTTGCAAAAGAGGAAACTGAGGCTCGGAGTGGAGTGGGTGGTCATTTACCCAGTCCCGGGGACCTGCTCACACAGTCTGCCTTCCTTCAGGAACTGCATCGGACAGAGCTTCGCCATGGCTGAGATGCGCGTGGCAGTGGCGCTGACGCTGCTGCGCTTCCGCCTGAGCGTGGACCGAACGCGCAAAGTGCGGCGGAAGCCGGAGCTCATCCTGCGCACGGAGAGCGGCATCTGGCTCAACGTGGAGCCGCTACCTCCACGGGCCTGAGCGCGGGTGCAGCCCTGCGGAGCCCGGCGCCCAAGCCCCGCCCAGAGGCAGATGCCCCGCCCTCGAGGGTCAAGGCCCCGCCCCCAAAGTCCTGTGGGCATAGGCCACGCCTCTCAAGGCAAGGCCCCACCCCTTGAGGTCAGGTCTCACCTCCCAAGTGCTGGTTCCTGCCCTCCTGTTTGAGGACCAGGCTAGGCCACACCCCTCGGGCCCAGGCCCGGTCCCCAGCACCCGGCAATTCAGGCCCCGCCCACCGAGCCTTCTAAGACCCCAAGACCAGATGTCTCAAGCGTTCTGGATTCAAGCCCGGCCCCACGCGGATTCTGGCCGGCTTCTAAACGGAGGACTGGGAGCTGGAGCCCGTGGTCAGGGCCTTGAACCTGGACATCACCTTCCTGAGGCCCCCAGCTCAGATGGATGGGCGAACCTCTCAGGCATCAGGCTACATCCTGTGGCCTTGCTGTTTGCTTTTCTTGTTTTGTAAACTCAAACCTCCCTTCCAATCCCTTTTCTTCCTCCCTTACTCAAAGGCTGTTTGCTAAGGGTTTTGATTTTTGTAGAATAAAAGCAAGGGATACTGACACCCACCACCACCCACCCTCTAGCCTGACCATAACCTGACATCCAGAGCCCGGCATGGAAATTAGGGGCCTTGGAGAGTCGGGAGGCAGCTGAGGGAAGCTATGAGCTAGGAGGCTGGAAAGCCATTTGTCCTCCCTTGGTCATAAACGTAGACTTTTTGGGACAGTTTGTGTATTCATTTATTTCATCAACAGACTGCATTAAGTGTCTGCTGGCGCTGTGCCAGGAGCACAGCCTGATTCCTGCCCTCAGGAGGACTGGGGAGACAAATGGTGAACGAATAATTCTATATATAAATATTTACTTAAACTTGTGACAAGTGCTCCAAGGGAGAGGTCCTTGGTGCTGGGTGAGCATAACATTTGGTGGGAGGGGCTCAGGGAGATCTTCTCTGATGCTGAAGTGGGAGTAGAATTTGAGTGGTGACAAGGGAGAGAAGAGCATTCCAGGCAGAAGGAACAGCATCTGCAAATGTCCCAGATGAGGGGGAGCATGGTGTGCTCAAGGAACTCACAAGGGGTCAGGGTGGCTGGATCTGGGGAGTGGAGCAGAATGCAGGAAGGGTGGGCAGAGGCGAATTGTGTAGGAATTGTGGGCTGTATCACAGCTCGGCCCTTATGCCAAGGGCAATAGGGAGCTACAGGGTATGTGAGAGTAGGAACAGGACACATCATGATCAGATCTGGGCTGGCAGGGAGTTGGATTGGAAGGGAGTATGGGGGGCTGGAAACCCAGGGAAGAGGGAGGCTGAAGTCCAGTTGGGACAGGAAGGGTGCAGGATGAGGGGAGGGAGGAGGTTAGGGTGATTCCCAAATCTTTGGCTGGGGGAACTAGGTGGTGAAGCAGTCTCTGATATGGTGATGTAGAAGGTAGGGAGATGACAGTGTCTATAATAAACATATTAATTCATCAAACTGAACATCCACTGTAAGCCAGGCAGTGTTTGAGCTCTTGCATAACTGACATTCTAGAAAAGGGAGCAGATAACAAATGGTTAATAAGCAAATAAATAAGTAAATTTACGCAGGGCCTTAGAAGCCACTGATTTTATTGTGAGAGAAAGAGGGAGCCACAGAGGATTCTGAGCAGAGGAGGGGCAAGATTTGTCAGACAGTCTTTGGCTGCTATGTTGAACAGAGAGACTGTGGAAGACAAGCATAGAACTAGGAAGATGAGGTGGGGTGACTACATTAGTCCAGGTGAAAAGTGACAGTACTCCAACCAAACTGGGGGCTGTACAGGTGAAGAGGGGAGATTGGATTCTGATGAGGAATGATTGTTTTATGAAGGTAATCCTGGCAAGTTTGCCAATGGATGAAATGTGGGGTTCATGAGAAAGGCAGGACCCCAGGTTCCCAGGTTTGAGCACCTGGAAAGATGGGAGTGCCATCAACTGAGATGGGGAATGCTGAATGAAGTAAGTTGTTTTTTGGGGGGAGTGAGATTAGCATGTCAGTTTGGGCCAGGAGATGTTGGACTGTCAAGCTGGCAGTTGGATAGACGGGTCTCAAATCTGGAAGAGAGTTCTGGGCTAGGATATACATTCGGGCAGCCTCAGCAGTTAGATGGTGCCTAAAGTCAGAAGACTGGATGAGATACCAGGACGTGTGTGTGTGTGTGTGTGTGTTCATGAAGGAAGGGTTTAAGGATCAAGCCCCAGGGGTCTCCAAAGTTAATATAACAATAATGAGATTTAAAATTGAGCACTTCCTGTGTGTCCTTCCCATTTAATGTTCTCATTTAATTCTCACAGGTACTGCAATCATGAGATGAATATTGCTATTACCTCATTTAACTGAGGTGGAAATTGAGTTCCCCAGAATGAAATGACTTACCCAAGGTCCAACAACGATTTCCTTGGGACCTCAGAGGGGCCCTGAGTCCTTTTCTACCCCTCCCTTGGGCTCCCTTGTCCTGCTCTGGGTCCCTAGACTCTCTGCCTAGGAGGAGTGTCAGCAGAGATGGCTTGGCACGGTGGGAGGCACGGAGATGAGCCAAAGCTGGTCTGTCGATCTTGGGGTGGCCCCGGGTGGCGTGTGTTGGGATCGTGGGCCGGAATGCTCTGTCCGAGGTGGACTGAGTGGAAAACATGCAGTCCCAGGCCCTGAGAGAGCCACCCAGGGCTCCTGCTGACGCTGCCTTTCTCACACCCTCATTCCGACGGAGGGTCTCCAAGCACTCATTATTCCACAAACATTGCACCCCCTACCCCGCCTCGGTGCAACTGCCAGCAGAAATAACTTGACCTTGGGAGGCGACTTATGTGGGTTCAAACCTAGGCTTCGCTCCTTCCTAGCCACGGCCCTGGCACGTGACTGCCCCTCTCTGCACCTCGGTTCTCCTGTGGATTTTATAGGATTATCATGATTGTAATGCACGTTTACTTTCCAGTAAGGGTCTTGGTGGATGAATGAGTGAGAAGGGGAGGCGTGGGGTTGGTGGGGCCCAGGATTCGCCTCCACCTGCGCGTGAGTTTTAAGATACCCCGGTGCGATCACTGATGGCTGCAGGCCTCATTCCTCTTCTGAGTGTGTCAGGAGCTCCCTCCACTGGAAGGTTGGCGACAACAGGCTCTAGCAGGGGTGGGGAACCTTTTTCTGCCAAGGGCCACTGGCTATTTGTAACATCATTCATGGGCCATACAAAATTGTCAACTTAAAAATTAACCTACTATATTTGGTCAAACATTGAATTAACTCACCCTAATATGATGGCTGGAGCTGCTTCTCTTCGGTGATGCCTTGGCAGGGCAAGACCAAATGACTTCACTGGTCATATATGGCCGGCGGGAGGGACGTTCCCTACCCGGCAGGTGTCTGGTCTACATTTAGCATATATGTGCATGTGTGTGTGGATGTGTGTGACTGTGTGTGGATGGGTGTGCTGGGAAGAGAGGAGGGGAGAACCCCACTCACTGAACAATTATAACTGTCCACATCAGGCTGTGCCAGACCCCCCTCCCTGCCTTGCAGCTAGCAGGACATTCCAGAGAAATAATGAGCTTGGGAGCAGCCCTGACTAATGACAGCTGGGTGCATGTTCTCTGCTCTTTCCCAGAGGTCCCCAGAGGGACTGAGCCCCAGGTGCCAACAGTGGGAGCTTTCTTCCTGAAGCACCTTTTCCCTGCTGCCTTCCCTTCCCTGTCTCACTTCCCCACTGCCTTACTGGCATTTCCTGGGATCACCTCCCAAATAAACAACTTGCAGTGGAATTTTTGCCTCAGAATAAAGTATTTGCATTTGAATCCTTGTATCACAGTCTACTTTTGGGGAACCCAAACTAAGATACACACGTAAGTCTGTTATTACGCCCAATCCCCAATCCCCACAGGCCTGTTATTATGCCCTTTTTACTGAGGAGGAATGTGAGGATCAGAGAGGGCAAGTTACTTGCCCAAAGTCATGCAGCTGGAGAGTGGCAAAGCTGGGCTTTGACCCTGGGCCATCTGACCCCAAGCCCAGTGCTTGCACCCCTCCTGGAAGCCCTCCTCCTTACTAAGGGCCAAGGAATATGGGTCATTCACAGCTAGTAATGTCCATGATGCATGTACCAGAGGGAACTAAGACTCATTTGTATCTGGCTTCCATGTATTCATTCTGTTGTGAAATAACGGAAATAATGGCAAACAAATGCTTGGTACTGACTACATGTCAAGGGACTGTTGTTAGAGGCACTTATTTACTTCCTCTCTCCAAATATTGAGTTAGCTTGATGTAAAAAAAGTTGCAAGTGTAAAAATTTTAAAGGGAAATTCTTCCACTTTTGCTCTTTAGTTTGGTTTGATTTTTTTTTCAGTTTTTACAAATTGCATATATGACCATTTTCCAGTTTATATACAGACATTTATGCACACACCATTTTTTAAAGAGAATTTTTTATAAGAATTTATTTGAGCCAAACTGACAACATATACGGGGGAGAAGGGTCTCAAAAGCTCCTACATGTAACCATTTTTTGAGGACTCCAAACATGTTGGAAAACATAATCTGTTCCAGTTAGCTGTTATTGTATAATGAACTGCCAGGACGTTTAGTAGCTTCAACTGACAAACTTTAGTTTGCTCATCAATTTACAATTTGGCAGGGCTCAGCTGGAACGGCTTTTTCTACTCTATACAGCATCAGCTGGAGCAGCTTGTCTGAAGCTGGAAGATCCTCTTCCAGAATAACTCACTCTCACGGCTGGCAATTTGGTGCTGACTGTTGGCTGGGGTCCTCAATTCCTGCTAACATAGGGCCTCTCTGTGGGGCTGCTTGGGTTTCCTCTTCACATGGCAGCTGTTTCCAAGAGGGTGTATTTCAAGGGGCCTGGAAGGAAGCTGCAAGTCTTCTCATAATCTAGGCCCACATCCCCAAAGTTACTGAGGACAGCTCAGGTTTGAGGAGAGAGGAATTAGATTCACCTCTGTGTCAGTCAGGGTTCTCCAGAGAAACAAAACTAATAGCATCTATCTACCTGTCTATCTATTAATAATCTATCTATTCATCCATTATGTATCCATCACTTATCTATTATCTATCTCTATCATCTATCTATTATTTATCTATATCTGTCATCTATCAGTTATCTATCTATACATGTTTATCTTGAGATTTATATATTATATAAATCTTATGCATAAATTTATATTTTAAGATTTACACACATCTTAAGGTATATATTTTTCTCAAGATTATATATATAGTCTACTACTTGGGGAAGGGGACAGATGACTTTTTTTATGACACCACACTTCCCAAGTCTTCCTTCTGTGGATTTTGGTGGTGGTCAGGCTAGTTTTTGTGAACAGTTATCACCCAGGAAACAGAGAGAGAGAGGTGCAGTAGATGTATCAATGAGCCATCACTGAATAACAAACAAGCCCCCAAACGTAGTGGCCTTAAACAATGACCATTTTATTTTCTCTTGTTATTCTGCATGCTGACTGATCGTTTGGAGGCCCCACTGGGCTGGACTATCCAAATGGCTCCCTCACATGACTGGCAGTTGATACTGGCTGTTGCGGGGAAATCAGCTGGCTGTTGATCAGAGTTTTACATGAGCGAGGGCTTTCCATGTGGCCTGGACTTCCTTATAGCACGAGATGTGTCCTATGAGCAAATATAAGTGTAAACTGCCAGCTGTCTTCGAGGCCATCATTGGATCACACCAACTGCACCACATACTATGGGCTAAGCACCCCTGGCCAGTTCAGATTCAAGAAGGGAAATAAACTCTTATTGGGGAAAACAGCAAAAATTTTGCAGTTATCACCTTAGTGGGCCTGGGTTACAGCCCGAGATTCTGCAATTCCAAGATGCTGCATGTGATATCCAGGCTGCTGGTCTGAGGACCACATTTTGAGGGGCCAGTTCTTAGAGCTCATGGCTACTAAGTCCCATTCTTTCTTAAATAGTTAATAAGCACCTACTATGTGCCAGGATTCCCTTTCTCCTGTGCTGTCATGTTGAATGACTTTGCTGTGTAGCTGGCATAAGTTACCACACCTCTCTGGACCTCTGTTTCTTCTTTTTTCTCCTGCTGCTCCCCAGACCTACCTGGCCACCCTGCTGCCTCTCATCTATCCCGGCCCTGCCCCTCGCTCTTCTCCAGATGGACATGCCAGCAGGTGGATCCACCCTAGCACATGAGGACAAGGATCTGGGGCAGTGGGCCTCACCTGCCGAGGCCTCCGTGAGCAGCCACCTGAAGCTGGGTCACATAGGACTGGAAGGAATGAGATGGGGGAGGCGAGTTTGGACATTTCCCCAACATTCTATCAGTTGCACGGGGAAAGTCTGTCCCAATCTTTTCACTCAGTTCCACCCCTCAAATTCACCCTCATTTTGGAGCCTGACTATGGGGAAACCTCTTAGGGACTGAGACTCCCTCACGGGGAAATTTGATTTCCTTGTTCCTGTTCCCAGCAGGCAGGTCTCAGGTCAGGCCCGGGGCTGTGTGGAGGTAGCACTGTTGCCACCTCGGAGAAACCAGGGAGATGTTTGGGATAAAACTCACCTGGCAACTCAACAATCAAGTTCAGGTTTTACCTGCTGAGCCCTAGCCTTGGAAGGGTAGGGCCAGAAGTAAACTTGGGGGCCCAGAATCACCTTTGCTACCCCTAACCTGCCCCCTGACCCCACTAGGGGGTGCCGGGTCCTGAGGTTCCAGCGCCCGCTCCCTGTGACATTGAACTTTTTCCTCTCTGGACCCAGCTGGCTCTGGCTTCAAGTGTTGGGTGGCTGCCGTGGGGGAGGAACCGCCGGGAGCGCGGGGGTTGGTCCGTGTGGCCCAGCCCAGCCTCCTCTAGTTCAAAGGGCGCCCCGGACAAAGACATCGCAGGGAGACCGGGAGGAGGCGGTGCAGGACCCGGTGGTCCCGCAGAAGGTGCGGGGCAGAACCTGAAGGGGCTAAGGGTCCCCGGCCTGGGGTGGGGAGGGGCGCTGGCCAGGGAGCAAGCTGGCCCAGGGGATGGGGCTTTCCTTGTAACTGGAGCCGCCCCGGGCAACCCGCAACTAGCTGATTCATGCTGGATGTTTCTTCATTAGTCTTTCTCTTTCTCCCTTCCCTTCTCTGTCTCTCCCTCTCTGTGTCTCTCTGTCTCTGTCTCCCCCCTCTTTGTCTCTCTCTCCCTTTCCCTTCTCTGTATTTCCCTGGGTCTCCCTTCCTTCCTGAGCCCCAATTCGCCCATCCCTGCCCTGTCCCCAACACTCACCTGGCCCTCCCTGCCCCTGTTCCTCACGCCCTTGGCCCTCTCCCTGTTTGTAAGCTGGTCTCTGCCCCTGGGCTCACCGTTACCCCCCTGTCTCCGGCCTCAGGAGCTCACCCTCTGTCTGGCCTGCAAGATGCTGCAGCTGAGCCTGTCCTGGCTGGGACTGGGGCCGCCAGCAGCCTCCCCGTGGCTACTCCTGCTGCTGCTGGGAGCCTCCTGGTTCCTGATCCGCTTCCTGACCTGGACCTACACCACCTATGACAACTCTCGCCGCCTCCGATGTTTCCCGCAGCCCCCGAAGCGGAGCTGGTTTTGGGGTCACCTGGGC